TCACTGGCCCCTGCCCTCACTGGCCCCTGTCCTCCCCGCGGGCTGCCCACGCAGAGCGCCCAGCAGCTCGAGCTCCCGTGGAGCTGTGCTGCTGCTCCAGGAGCCCCAGCCTGCAAAGCCACAGGGCTGCTTCAGCACACTCCCCACTCAGTCCCCCAGCAGGGAAACCTTTGGTGTTCTCATCTCATCTGAGCTTTTATTGTGCTTTGTAAAGCATTACGGTTTTTGTAAATGCCAAACACAACTTCTACCAGGCCTCTAGCTCTGTGCTGGCAACTCTGCTCACTGCAACCCCACCCTCCTTCCAGTAACCCCCCTCCCTGACTGAGGCATCTTTGTCCTCATTTACTGCAAATTTCCTCCACCCTTCTTCTTCAATCCACAGCTACTGCCTGAAGGAGAGGGGCTTTGCTGAAACTGGCAGAGAGGACCTGGGAAGAAGGAGGAAAGGGTGAGCCTAACAGAGATCAAAGAAGTCCTGAAAACTGGAAATGTGCTCTGATGCATAACTCTGGTTTCAAGTGGTGCAGTACAGTTTGGTTTAAACTGGTGGCAAGGGAGTTTACTGAATTTTTGCAAGTTTCCAATAGACTTGGCATCTCACAAAGCCAGGTTCCCAGCAGAAGGCTGGGCACGCTCCTGTGATGCCAGGGGCACAGCCCTGCTGAGGTGGAAGGGCAGCTGAGTTAGAGAGGTGGATTAGAAAGTCAGCTGACTTTTCTAACAGCCCCTACCCACCCCACCCCTAAAGCAGTGCAGAGTTGTGCTCTGCTAGAAGTTTGCCTTTGGTGCTTATTTAAACCAGGCCAGCTCTCCAGACTCTGGACCACATGTCCTCTGGTCCCTGGCTCTAGCTGGTGCAATGGCACCATTCACATCTGTCCACATCTGCAGCCCACACTGTGGCAGACGTGTTCTGTGCTCCTTACTCCTTCAGCCCCTCAGAGCACGGCTGCAGGGTCTGCACAACTGTGGGTTGCATCCACCCGAGAAGCAGCTCCCCCCGCGTGCAGGGCAGGGGAGGTGTCTCCAGCTGATGCCAAAGGTCCATGGGGTGGCCCTAGCTCAGAGGTCTTCGCAAGCACACCTGGCCCTAAGAGACTTGGCAGCTGGGTCCTGCCTTCCTGTGCCATATAGTTTTATGGCTCTTACCTCTTCAAAGAGCTCCAGGCTGTAGGTGTTATCGTCATCGGCAAAGTACACCACCCCTTCTGGTGGGGAGGTGCTGCTGAAGCTGTCCCTCAGCCAGCGCAGCCCCAGGTTCCTCTGCAGGGTCCCCCTCGGGGTGTGGGACGGGATCCAGGACAGCCCCAGCTTCAGGCTCTTGGGCGTCTCCACGTTGAGGTGAGTGAAGTTGAGCCCTGCCTTCTCCAGCAGGTTGGACACCAGGTTGGTCCTGCGGGGCGAGTCCTCCACCACCACCCAGTGCAGGTTCTGCACGTGCAGGAAGGTGTTGGCCAGGCGGGTCAGCTCGGCTTTCTGCACCGGCCGGCTGTAGGTGGGGGTGATAACGAAGATGGTCGGGAGGCTGTCTGACCAGGGGGGAGGTCTGGAGTACACATAGCTCTGGAGGACCTTGGGCGTTGCCCCTGCCCCGTGCTGGGGCCGCCCGCAGGTCGGGAGCCCCTCCTCCCTCAGCACGGCCGTCCCGTTGAGGAGAGCTTTAGTGGTCACGTTCTCCTCTGCCTCTTCTGGGCAAAAGGAAGGAAAGAAGGAGGAGGAGGAGGTTAGAGAACCAATGACTGCCAGGCTGCCTCCGCGCCAGGGACACATCTGCCTGGAGCTGGTGCCCAGCACACCAGCACCTTCTCCCCAAAGCCAGAGTAAGGTGCATGTTTAAGGTGCTCTTCAGAACAGTTTGTGTGCCTGTTGTAGGCAAACCCTGAGGGGGTTCTTCAGGCAAAGCTGTCTTTGCTTAACCCATCCCATGAGAGAGCACCTCCTGCTGAGGGTTTGCACCAGCAACTCAGCACAACCACCAGCACACAGACAGCAAAACACTTGCACTTACTTCTCAGCAGGCTGAGGTAGTGGGTGGTTGGGTACTGGTGCCACAAGGTCAGGAGAAGAGCCCATGGCAAGGCAATCAGGAGCGTGGTAAGGAGGTTACGTCTCCTCAGCATGCTGCAGAGAGCTCCCAACGCCCAGGCATCTCTCTACCTTTCAGAGCAGAAAGAAGAGTAAGGCCTCCAGAATATCAGTCCCCACAAACATCAGGACAGCAAGTTTAGAGGCCAAACGAAGAGACTGAGTTTGGCTTGCTTGGAGGGAGGCACGATCAATGCTGGGCCCAAATCCAGCAAAGCACTTGTCTAAGTATAAGTTTACAAGGAACCCCATTAGCACTGCAGGCCCAGACCACTCTCCAGCTGCCCCTGCTAATCCCTCTGCTATTGAATAGAAGCTTTTATCTACTTATGTTGCTACAAAGGCCTCTCGCTGCCCCACGGTGAACCCACTGTCCTTGACTTGGGGCTGTTCATGCTGCTGGTTCTGAAGCCAGAGAGGGAGAGGACTCTCACTTGCCCCCTCTCCGGGTCTAGTGTTCATTCCTGAGCTTTGTCCAATTAATTTGCTTCTTTTGCAGACTGTTTTCAAACTGTGTGCAAGGTTTGTGCTCCAGTGTATGGAAGTGGGCCGAACAGAAAAAGCCAGGCACCCTGCAGACAGCCAGCAGCTCTCTCACTCCTGCAGCTTCCACTCCTCCTCCTCATGCAGGTGCACTGGGGCAGTCAGGGATGCACACCATCCCCTCCTGTTTCCCACAGAATCCCTGCCCCAGTCGTTCCACATTGCTGATGATGCCTGCTCAAAGTTTAACTTTTCCACATCCCTTTCTACTCCTGGTTTGCAGCGTTTGCCACTGCAGCACTGTTCAAACCACAGACTTCAGAATACTTTCATTTCTTTCTTAAGCACTTCTGCCTTGTACACGACCATGAGACCTGAGGAATCGTGACAGCAGACATTTATTTTTGAAACTCCTTCTATAAGGTGAAAGGAAATAAAACAGGTAAAAAAGGACAAAAATATCATGAACAATCAACAACAGGGGGCAGCTTATTCACAGATAGCTCAAGCTACAGCAGTCCTGTGCTTGATTCTTCACAATTGTTGAGCACCTCCAGCTCCCACTAGTTAGTGATTAATGAGCAGCCAGTCTAGCTGGAAATCACATCCTTGGCCTCTCAAGGTAGCCAGGCCTTCAACAAATTATCCAACACTAATCATCAGTTGGGAAAATACAGACTGAAGTATTTGGGTGTCTATTGCAGCCCACTTGTTCAGGGCTGTGACTTGGCCCTGTGTGAAGTCGTGGTGTGATGAGATCCCAGCCCTGGATCCCCTGTCTGAACGACCCCTGGCAGCCTGTGTGCAGTCAGTCAGGTAAGCCTGAGACCCCAGAGAAGAACTTCTGGAAGCCCAGCATCAAATGGGCTTTACCTAGTGCATGTGCTGCCTTCTGTGTGGCTCTGGCACAGTCAGGAACATCTTCCTCTGACTTCTACCTTCTGCTTGGGCCCCTCTCTGGGTATGAAATCTCCCAATCCAGTTATTACACACTGGTAACAAAAGCAGGGCTCCAGAGAGAGGGATCCACCTCTGGGGCTGCAGAACAGCAGCCCATGGAAACGCTGGAGGGTACAGAGTGGAGCTCCTTGTAACCACCTGAGGACCTTCTGCTGTCACTCCAGGCAGGCTGTAGGATGTTTGATAGATGGATTTTATCCCCCCTCCCTCCCAATAACATCTGCAATCCGTTTCCTTTGTGATTATCTTTCCAATGCCAAGCACTTCTCCTGGTGGACTTCCTTGCCACCACAGCAATGCTCATTAGGAGGCTAAAGGGAGCATGAAGCCCTAATTAGCCTCCTGCAGAGAGATTCCTGTTGGGAAACTACAGTCACGCTGGGGACTGGGAAGCTGCTGAATGGCACAGCCCCACCAGGCCCTCTTGCTCTTCCAGGCTGAAGACAGCTTGAGGGAAGAGTGATGATATCACACTGGTACTGAGGATGGAGAGGAGGTGCAGAGTAGCTGGCTGTAAATCCCTGAGCTGCCAGAGATGCCCTGGGTGTACTGAAGGCTAGTTGTCTAAAACCAAGGTCTTCAAAGGGATCTGGGCACATTTTGTGCACAGGAAACTCCTTGCCCAGGATTTGGTCCCAGCAGCTCTCCATCTGTCCAAAGGGTAAGGATTGCCTTGCTTCAGCCCTAGAGAACTGCGTGAGAAGGGAATGACAAGCAGTCCAAAAGGGCTCTGCTTTGCCCTGGTGCCCATTCCTCTACTTTCAAGCTATGGAAAACTGCTGAAGAAGTGGGCCAAGGGAGCAGGGTGGCTGGGGGTACACAGGAGTGTTTTGGTGATGCCAGCAGGAGCCTGGCTCTGCATCACTGCATTGCCTTCTGATGGCTGAGGCCAGGGCAGGTGAAGAGTCTTCTCCAAGCTTTGGTGTTTGGTAAGGTACAACTCTAGTCTGGACACAGGGCAGCATGGTGCTACCCAGACCTAGGGCTGCTTCCCCTCCAGGAATTCCCTTCCCAGCACAGACCAAAGCTTCCTGTCACTCAGATGGTGAGAGCAGAACCCAAAGGAACCCAAGGAGGGCTCGTAACAGCAGCAAGCACCTAGGTCCAGCTGGGCCCTGGCCTGGGGTCCTCACAGCTCCTGGCTCCCTCTAGCATGCTTGGAGCCACACGTGTCCCTGCACTAGGAGCAGGCAGCCAGAGTTCCTCCCTCTATCAAAGGCCTGAGCCCTACAGGCAGAGTCTGTGCAGCAGCAGGTCGCTGCTGGAGGGAGGGAGAGGAGGAGGTGGCAGTGGCAGCCGTGCCACCAAGAGAGCCCAGAGGAGGGTGATCAGAGTTAGAAAAGCTTTAATGAATTCCCCCTTGAGTGCCTTCTGCTCCTGCCCCCAGCCAGCCTGGTGGTGCTCCCTGACCCTGCAGGGAGGTGGGGACACGGTCTGTGCACAGCTCCTGCAGCCCTCCTCTGCTTCCACAGGCACCTTCTCTCCAGTGCTTTCCCAAAGCGTGCCATGATGAAGTTAAACCTCACATAAAGCACCAGGTCACCCGTGAACCTCGCAGAGGAGGTGACTTTAACCCCATCTGCAGAAAATTTGTCATGGAAAACTTAGTTTTTTCTTTAAAATGTTACCTTATCTCCCCCACTGCAGCCCTCTGCATCCATCATGCTTCTGCTCTTCTCTGTTCCTTTCCATCCTTCACTTGCCTTTCCTCAGTCCTTATGAGTCTTTCTTCTTCCCTGTTTCCAGGACTAGAGGAATCCCATGGCCTACTAATAACTTTACCTTTTGTCTTCTCTCCTTCCCACCCAAGGGCCCTTTGCATTTTCTTAGTGCCCACCCAGCACAGACTATTTCCCACAAAGTGGTCCATTAAAGCATCAGCCCATCCCTCTGAAAGCACAGCATGAAAACCCAGTGGTGTGTCAGTGCCCCTGGGCAGCCTGCTGATGGCCCCAGTGGGGCTTACAGAGGTTTATGGCACATATTTTGATCTGCTTTTTATAATGAAAACCAAGGTTCCCTAAGTGGCTCAGATTAATTGCTTGCCTGGCTGGCAGACATTACTGTGTGTATTCTTGGCACAACCAGCTACCTTCCTTCTGCCTTTATGCCCATTCAGAGTAGATCCTATTAAATGAGGTTCAGAAGAGGAGATGAGATGAGAATTTGGTGATGATGTGAGGCCCTGTCCAGCCAGCATCCCGTGGTCCCTGGGTGTGAGCTGTGGAGGGCAGGGACTGTCTCCTCACGCGCCCGCACAGCCCAGCACCGATCCCAGCAGGAGCCTTTGGATGGGATTGTCATACCAACATTACTGATTGTACTCCCTTGCTGGCTCTTCCCCCTCCCTATTTCCCCTGTCCTGCCTGTTCCCCTTTCTCTCCCCTCTCCCCCCAGTGCCTCCTGCAGCCCTCGCTCGTGCCACGCACGCCTAACAGCGTTAGCTGCGGTTTTGATGGATGCCTTCAATATGCTGCCTGTAGCCTTCTTGAGCTGTTTTCCAATTATACATCCCTCTTCTTAATTTCATCCATCAATCTTGTGTTCTCCATTAAAAAATAAACAAGCACACGCGCACACACAGAGCACAAAGCTGAGTATGATAGGAACAAAATGTTTCTTGTGCTCCTCTTGCTTCACGCGGCTCCGTCAGACTTCACTCCCAGCACAAACACCATCCCTTCCCTGTCTAAGCTCACGTGCTCATGCAGGGGGCATTAATCCAAAAGGATTCAGGATAAGAGAAAAAGAGAAGCATCCAGGGGGAAAAGTTCAGCCCCAGCCCAGGTGCCCCACACTGATGCTGAAGACAAGCTGAGGCTCAGGCCCTCAGATGTGACCGATCCCTTCATCTGCTGTTGACTAATTCCCAACAGGGCACAATTTGTTACAGGCAGGTCTTCTGCTGACTGCTTGCCCAGCTAGGAAGGATATTACCATCAAAAGGCAAACCAAGAGCCTAAGTCCTCTCTCCACTCTTAAACTCTACACCAATGACCCAAAATGCCAGACCACTGGAGGGAGGAATAAGTCCCTCCACCCACTCACCACACAGGATGTGCAGAAGGGAGCGAGGAACCCTGTCAGCCTCACCATTCAGTCACATACATGACCTCTTAAAGTTGTATCTTTCTCCCTGAGCTGCAGAGTAGTTTGAAATGAAATGTTGGCTGACTGGTAGAGAGAGGTGAGCGTTAGAGAGAGGCCCAGCTGACCAAGGACTGTAAGGCTGACATGTGAGTTCAGGTGCCTGTGCTTTCCTAAAGCCTGGTCAGAAAGCTGCTCAATCCATGTCCTCTTTGTTAAACCAGAAATGGTGAAGATCACACAGGTTTTGGTTGTTCTGAGGTCTCAGTTTTGCCCTCCACCTACCGGATTCACAAGGACCACATATTTTTAAAACTTTGCTCTGCAAGGAAGATGATTTTGCAGCTTCTAGTTTGGGGTGGCCAGCCTGTCCAAGCCAGGCTTACCAGGGCCTGAACGTTGGACCAGCCCCAGCCCCAGGACTGAGACACAGACTACAGATCATTATCTTCCCAGAGGGACAAATCTCACAGCTCAAACTGTCCCCTGGGAGCATCCTGCCATC